GCATTGAGCAGGCAAGACCTGAACCATACACTCCATTCACCCAGGTGATTCCTCGCAGTACCTCACCATTCATATGCCATTTGGACCCCCAGCTTCTTAAATAGCATCTGTGTCTTTACTAAGATAAAACTTCAAGGGCATGGGTGGGTCCCAAGGGGCTACAATTAATTGGCCCTCAAATCTTCCCCAAAGAATGAAAGTGCCTTTGAGGATATGAATGGATTAGAATTCCCCAAGAAAGAAAGGCTGCCAGGGGTGATGTTTCCCTTCCCTATTGTTTAAAGAGCAGAATATGTTTCTTTTTATCCTAATATAAGAACTAATGCAATCGGATAATAAAAAGCAGAGGTGGAATTTCTCCTTTAAGGGATTTCAAAGGGCTGTAATCTCCCTTTGAAACTGAAATGAGTTCTAAGTGGGACCTGCTCCATACACGGGGCAAGCTGGGTTTTAAACACACCCAACGTGAGTTATCCACCTGACAGCTAGGCGACGTGTCCAGATGTAGACAGATGTGTGGATCTTCAGGGTCACCTCTCTCAGCATGGGAACTATGAGAAACATCCACCTTTGTGAGGCTCAGTTTTGCTGTTTGAGAGAGAACTTGGCTGGTGCAGCCTTCCTTTTCTATTTCTGGTGCTATTTAAATTAATTCCAGTCTTCTTCAGAGGTGAGGGAAATTTCTCTGATAAAAAGCCATTGATGTCTTCAGGTTTTTCATCATCTTAAAAAAAAAACTGTACTGCACCATTTTATAGAGGCTAATTTAATGGAATGTCGTGTTATTTATTTTACAGTGTGGCTCTGAGGTTAGGGCAAAAAAAGTCTGGGTCTTTCTGATAATGAAAAGCAGAGTTTTAAACATTGAGAAAATCAGGAAAAGGGCAAAATTATACAGTAGTATTATGATATATAGATGCAGTCATTTTTTTGAGATTTTCTTTTTTTATTTTATGTATATGAATGTTTTTGCACGCATGTATCTCTACACCACATGTGTGCCTGGTGTCCACGAGGCCAGAAGAGGGTGACAGGTCCCCTGGGACAGGAGTTGGGACAATTGTGAGGCACCCTATGGTTGCTGGGAATTAAACCCCAGTCCTCTGGAAGAGCAGCTGGTGCTTTTAACCACTGTGTCATCTCTCCAGCCCTGCAGTCAGTTTTTGTTTGTTTGTTTGTTTGTTTGTTTATTTGTTTTTAATGAAGGTTTGAGGGTTCTCCAGTGTGAAACCTAGATGGGTCCACGTGAGGAAAAGGCACATTTTCATTGCTATCCAGCAATGCCCTGTCCTCCCTTTCTTAAAAGTCATAGAAATCTTTTCAATAGTTCTTATGCACGCCCCTGTAATAAAACCAATATAAATAACAACAGGAAAAAAAGAAACCACTCAGACTGTGTTTCAATAGTTCTTATGCAAGCCCATAACGAAACCTACATAACAATGGGGGTGGGCAGGGAGCATCCACCCAGACCTGTTTTCACAGCTTCAGCTCAATGAAGTGGAGGAGCTGTCTTTGCCTTGTCCACATATTTGAATCTTCCAAAGAGACGTTGGTTCTAAGCTATGTGGTACCTGCTCCACGAGCCCCATCACCCACAGAGCTCTGTGAAAAACAGCTCCTCCTCAGCCTTGTCTTCTCCAAGAGCCCCGGAACCTGTTGGCTGTCACCTGCCACTGGTGCTCGCCTTTACCAAAAAACTTCTGTTCTTTCTCTTCAACCTTGCACTTCGCCTCCCCCAGGAAAATAGTGGAAATACCACACTGGAACCGCATGGCTCTGCTAGCCACAAGGTGCCATCGAGTTCATTCAGACTACGGAGGGGATTCAAATCTGCCAGAGGTTGACGCTTCAGGGACACTGGATGATAAGCAGGGTGCCAGACTCCCTCCCATTTGTAGGAAGAAGCATATGCTGTCTGTGAGATGTCTGCTGGATGCCACCTCAGCCCTTCATTGCTCACTGGAAGTTCTCATTTTGCTGCCCACAATCTTGCCAATGCCACTCTACCACTGAGCTGTATCCTCAGCCTCTTTTTACTTTTCATTTTGAGATAAGGCCTCACGAAGTTTAGCCCAGACTGGCCTTGAACTTGCAATCCCCCTACCTCAGCCTCCCATACAGCCCACAGGCCTGCACTGCCAGCCTGGTGTGCACTCCCTCCCTCCATGTCCTCATCTCCCGCAGTCCCCGCTACTGTGCTGCGCTGGGGTGGCAACTTCTCTGAACATAGGCAAAACAGAAGAACCAATAACTAGAAGGAAGGAAGGAAGGAAGGAAGGAAGGAAGGAAGGAAGGAAGGAAGGAAGGAAGAAAAAGAAAGAAAAAAGGAAAGGACATGATTGGTCCTGGGTTTCAGTAACAGATGAATGGGGAAAAAAAGAAATAAAAAGGAAGGACATGACTGCTCCTAGATTTGGTGGAGGAGAAAGTTTATTGTATGTGAAGGAGAAAGCATGGCCAGAGGCAGAGAGAGACATCTGGGAGAGTCCTGAGCCCAGTGTGGAGAAGTGAAGAAGGGGGCGGGGGAGTGTCAGACCAAGAGGCTGGGAAGGTAAGGTAGGAAAAGAGGGACAAAAAGGACCTGTATAGCAAAATGCCTGGCTTAGACAGGCAAGGGCAATTGTGGAAAGGGCTGCCCAGCCCTGGGCTGGAGAAGTTCAGGGTAGGGGGCAGATGGCAGCCATACCCTGTAACAGGTAGGGACTGAGGGAGGCTGGGAGAACCTGGCAGCCAGCATCAGCTTTGATATGTTAAGTAGGCACCTCAGCTGTTTGTCCCGGGTTTGAGACCTAACATCCATGTTTCAGTATTCTTCAAACTCTACTTCTAAGTCGAGTAGTCTAGTTTTTCAATTTCGAGCGATTCTCTCCTTGCTCTCTATGACAATATTTCCCCCTCCTTTTTTTTTCTTTCTTCAACAGTAATTCTGTGTTTCACTCCTGTGAGCTCCCCAGCAGTCAGCCTCAGCTTTTTCCTCCTCCCTCACTTTTTCCTGTTGTCTTCCACTCATCTCCCCTTCACCCCCCCTCCCCCCCCCCCCCCCCCCCCCCCCCCCCCCTCCCCCCACCCCCCCCCCACTCCCGCCGTATTTGCTACAGCAGAGCCTCCTTACTGACTAGTGGACTGGCTTACGGTCCCCTCCCTCAGACTCCCTCCCGCATCAGACAAATGCCACCTCCTTCCTCTAACCAGCCCCTCTCATGGACCATGGCTTCTGCGCTTGGCCCGAATAGTCCATCACTGGGTAGCCATAGTCCATGAAGTAAATTCTGAATGGACGTGCAGTGACAGTCCCTGGGATAATGTGGTAAGGGCTGGAGTCCTGTGTGTGTTTATGCACATGTGCATGTGTGTGCCAGGGGAAGGGGCTGGCCAGCTGCGGGCCTGCTAGACACTGTGAGCAGTTCCTCACCTCCACACTCTTAGACAAAGTGAGAACCTTCGCGCACACACTGGTTCATTCCATGTAACCTCGAACTTGACAGCTCTGCACCCACCTGCTCAGTCATGAGCCTCACCTCAGCATCCTTTGAACAAGCACCAACGGTGCTCTGGTGAACACTCTGGGGAAGATCTCAAGCTAAAGGTTCCTATTCTTTGCCACACGCTATGGAAGATCGGAGGATCTGAACCCACACCTCGGAGTGGGTGCACCTCTGGGCAAAATTTAAGTTACCAAGGGGAAACTATCCGAGCTGTACCTACTCACGACAGCGGAGATTCTCAGCAAATCCTGCTTAGGTTTTGAAGGGATCTGCTGGGCACAGAGCCACGCTCCGCTCTCAGTTTCACGGGTGCATGCTACCCACAGCGGGGCACATTAGACCAAGCAGACGTTGGCACCCGCCAGCGTGGTTTGGCTCACAGCCCTGCCACTGTTCATTTCTGTGAACTCAGGCACGCTTGAAACCTCATTTTCTGCACTTGGAAAATGTACCAGACAATGCCCTGTTCAGAAGGTAGCTGTGACTATTAAACCTGACAACGGTGTCACGCAACAGTGACAGTGAGGCTCTGGCTGGCCGCTGCTCCCTAAGTCACCCAGTTCCCTGTTTCTAGTGAGGTCTTTCTGGGTCCATTTAATTAATGACCAACGCTACAAATAAAACTCCAACAGAAGACGCTGCATGCCACAGGAACATTATCTCGACAAAGGCGAATGTTTGGATTTTCACTGACACCTTTCAAATATAAAATTTTATATTCCATCTTTGGGTAGCCATAGTCCATAAAGTGAATTCTGAATGGACGTGCAGTGACTGTCCCTGGGATAATGTGGTAAGGGCTGGAATCCTGTGTGCGCTTATGAGCATGCATGTGTAAATGTGTGCATGCATATATGTGTGTTGAGTACACAAATGAATGTGTATAGACTATGATCGTATATATATGCATGTTTATGAATATGTATGTGTCTGTATATGTGTAGATGTATGAGTTTGAGTGTTTATGCATACATATATGTAGGCATATGTGCACATACACATATATGTGAGTGCCTATGCGTGCGTGTCTGTGTATGTGTCAATGTGTATGGATGTCTGGCTCTGTTTATACATGTGTACCTATGCACTCATGCCAATGCTTTCTTGTGTCTCCCTCATTCCCGCCTGCACAGCCTCCTGACTCCATTAATCACAGAGGTGGCACCTCATAAAGCTGCTGGACTCTTGTGCCTCATAGAGTCATCGTGTAGATTTACGGTGTGACATGTGGGTGACTGGTAACTGTTGCTTTACTTCCCGGCAGATGTTCATGTGGTAAAAGCAGAACCATGGCCTGAGACTGCTGGAGAGAGCCTGGGGCTGTAGCCAGAAGTGGGAAAAACACCTCATGCGTGGAAGACTGCTAGCCGATGCCTTATGCCTCAGCTCTGCACTCATACGGATTGCTTCTCTGTTTACAATATCCTTCCGCTGGCTTTAACCCATAGGCAGACAAAGAAGCCCCCGCCCTTAGGCCATACTCCATTTTAAGATGTAAAATGCTTGACAAGCTACACATCAGCACAATATTTTACCACAAGAACCCAGATCCTATCTTCCAGAGACAAGGTTATCATACCCACTATCAGCCGCTCTGGCCACGATCTTGGGCTGTCCCATTCTAGGAGGTTCAGGAGGGCTATTCCACCAAAATCTTCAGTGTAGGATGAACACGAAAAATGTCCAGTGTCGGGAAGAGCCTACAATGAACATTCCTTGTCTATAAGTGGAGAGCCTGAGGTGCAGGAAGATGAAGTTAGGAGCCATGAATGGGCAGAAATGAGATGGCACATGGCCTTTTGACTCACCGCTCAGCATCTTTTGATGGCCTCTACAGCAGCTCAGAGGTTCTCACAGCAGAGGAGCAACTTTATAGATTAACTTTTAAGACACTGGTCTAAAGTTAAGCATGGGTTTGAACAAGACCCATCATGATTTCTCAGAGTCCGGCCCTTCATCCCACCCATCCCACTCTGTGCAAGCCAACAGGGCCACCATGTGGACATGGCTCTGGCCTCTGCCTGTAGGGCCCCTATGGAGTGCTAGCTACACACAGCTGGCACAGACTACTGTCATCCCTGAGACTCGGACTGGCTGTGATGATGAGTCCTATACTGTCCTCTTTCCACAGGGATGCATACTGTAGTGAGGACACAAGACAACTCAGAGATGCTCTGGACCTGGGAAGCTGTCGTCATCTTCATCATCACGTCCTCAGCTCAGCTAAAATACGGGGAGCAAAGTAGTCTCCCCTACTCCTTAGGGAGCTCATAAGTGGGCCCCTCTCCAACTAGACCACGCAGCCTGATCCCTAAGCTAGCTCAGAACATAAAGAGCTAAGCTGCTGGGTTTGCGCTGGTCCCCTACCTCGAGGCTGCTGCCTAGGAGCACTTGCTGATGCCCATCTCTTTCTTGGCAAATTTAATGAAGATTCATCCCAGGTCTGAGTACCTGATGGGTAGTCCGGGAAGAGGTGGTGTGTGAAGAGAATTGAGAAGCAGACAGAAGGTAGAAGAAGGAGCCCTGAGGCTGTGTCTGTGCTCCTGAGGCAGCTGCGCGTCAGGAGCTGGGCACTGTGTGGGAGGATCAGACGGGACCAGCAGACCAGTGATGGCAGACAGTGGGACTCAGAAGGCCGGGGAGCCATCAGGAGCCATGGAGAGTCTCCAGGCAGAGGCTGAGACAACGGCATGGCAGTGAGGGGCTGGGGGAGTGGGGGAAGCCCAGGAACCAGTCATTGGGTTCACTGGAGACCACAGTCTGAAGTAGCGTGGTGGCAGAAAGGAGGATCACGTGACAACAGTGACGTTCCAGAGACCTGTGGGCTGTGAGTCGTGGCATGGAGAGGCCAAGATGCTTGAGTTAGACCTGAGAGTCTGGAGAGCCTGTGGACTGTGAAATTAATGAATGCATAGAGAAGGAAGCAGGAGGCTTACAGAGTTCTTAGCTCAATGGCACAAATCTCCCAGAAGTCCATTGTCTAACTGACAGGAGCTTCTCTTCCTGCCCCTAGGCCCGAATCCCTGGTATTTTCTTACATCTTTGGACAAGCACCTGTGAACTTTGAGGCATGTTTACAGCAGTTTTAGGCATGGGCTCCCTGGGCTGTGAGTTTCTGGAAGTCTGACACCCCCACCCCCCACCCCACCCCACACACCCTGGGCTTTTGCTTATGTCGTCCTGGGTGAGTTCTCAGCAAGTGGCTTCCCTGAGCTCACACAGAGGAGGGGACTCCTGTGGGTGGGTCTGGATGGCCATTGTTGCCTTAACAGTGGTGACCCTCTAGCAACCAGCTGCACACTTCATTAGCCAAGCTGCTCTCCTCCGGCCCATTAATCAAGCTGTTAAATCCAGGACTTAACACCACACCAGGCCATTCATCTGCCGAGGCCTGGGCTCCAGGCTCCTCCATCCCCTGCGGCGGCTGAGGAAACTGTTAACGCCTCCCAGTCCATGGCCCAGCTCCCGCTCCTGCTTTGCACATTAGCCCAAGGCGCGTGACCCCCACTCTGGTCCACCTTACCCTTCTCCCTTCCCTGTGACAGACACGGAAGGCACCCACTCTTGTGCACACCCCAGGCTTCGCCAGTATGTCTCTTACCCTTAGCAACAGCTTTATGGAAAGATCCATGGCTTTCTTCAGTTTCCCTTCACATTGGCGGCTTGGAAGCTCCTTCTTGGCAAGATGTCCAAAGAGTATGACTGTCTGCATGAGCCTTAAGTCCGCAGAGTCAGATGGAATTAGAAGGATCTCCAAGTAGTTCTAGTCTCACTTTAGATTAGCATCTCCAGAGTCCTGGAGAGAACAAGCAGCTGAGAAGAGTCCCGAACCTCATGGGTCTCCTCACCTTAGGTCCCAAACCCCATGGGTCTCCTCACCTTAGCTTTGACTTTCCCTTTATATAACACAGCTACCAGCCTGACTGGGGATGTGGATATGGTTTGTCCCTCTTGACAGGACTCCTTCCTACCCATTGTCCAAGCTGCTGGACCACATGGGTTGTCTGGTGTGGCTTGCCATGGCCAGGGTGACAGAATATATATTGTCCAAAGACGACAGCCTTGGTTACTTTTCCTAAGTACGGCCCAAACGTCTGAGAGGGCAACTCTGTTCAGGGAAGCAGGCAGGCTAACTGCAGGTCTTCTCCTCTCCTTCTGCTCCTCCAAATCCAATCCCTCAGTTTCATCTGCTTCTTCTCCTGCCCCCATCTCTAGGACATCACACAAATCTTCCCCTCCAAACTTCCTCCCCCACCCATTGCTTCCCCCAGTCCCCAGCACCAGTACACACTCCCTGGGAACCCACAGGCCACTCTGGCCAGGGAAGCAAGTAGGCTGACTATAGGTCTTTCCCTCTCCCTCCGCTCCCCCAAGTCCAATCCCCCAGTCTCATCCCAGCTCTGTAGCAGACCTTCTGCTGTGATCCCTCCTCACTCTGCCCTCATTCCCAGGGACGGAGCAGGGCCTAGTGGAACACCCTGCTGTCCTCCCTCCTGCGACCTCCTTCACTACCCCTTCCCAGCCCATCACCATTCCTAAATGTCAGCTCCCAATGCCTAACAATACATTTTACCTGGAATCCACAGTGCCCTCACCTATCAGGATCCCAAAAGAATTTCCTACAAGACAGCTCACAGCCACCTCACTCTCCTAAGAACCAGAGAGGAAACAGAAACCAAGGAACAAAATGCCTACCCAACAAAGACAAGACCAGGCATCATCAGGACCTAGAATTATAATCTTCCCAAGCCGAGATTGGGAAGCATAAAAACATATCCCTAGATGCCAGTGTGGAAACACAATCAATGGCAGTCAGGACGGTATGTCTCCACCAGAGCCCAACAACCAACCCTACCACGGGAGGCCCCGAGTATTCCAACATAGCTGAAAGACAAGACCAAGACCGTAAAACAGCTTTTACAAATATGATAGGTGTTCTTAAGGAGAAAACGGGTAAATCCCTTAAAGAAATCCATGAAAACACAAACGGTGGAAGGAAATGAATAAAACCATTCAGGACCTGAAAGTAGAAATGGAATCAATAAAGAAAACCCAGATTGAGGAAAATCTGGAAATGAAAATTTAGGAACTCAAGCAGGAACCAGAGGCAAGTCTTACCAACAGAACACAAGAGATGGAAGAGAGAACCACAGGCATTGAAGACATCAGAGAATAAATGGATACATCCATCAAAGAAAATGTTAAATCTTAAAACTCCTGGCACAAAACATCCAGGAATTCGGGGACAGTGTAAAAAGACCAAATGTAAAAGCAGTAGAAACACAGGAAAGAAAAAAATCACAGGTCAAAGACAGAAAATATTTTAACAAAATCATAGAAGAAAAATTTCCTAACCTAAAGAAGGAGATGCCTATCAAGGTGCAAGAAGCTTACAGAACACCAAATATACTGGACTAGAAAAGAAAGTCATCATGGCATATAATAACCAAAATGCTAAATGTTCAAAACAAAGAAAGGATATTAAAAGTTGCAAGAGAAAAAGACCAAGTAACATATAAAGGCAGACCTATTAGAATTACACCTGACTTCTCAATGGAGACTCTAGAAGCCAGAAGGGGCTGGACAGATGTGCTGCAGCTACTAAGAGACCACAGATGCCAGCCCAGACTACCATACCCAGCAAAACTTTCAATTACCATAGGTGGAGAAAATAAGACATTCCATGATTATACCAAATTTAAGTAGTATCTGTCTACAGATCCAGATCTAAAGAAGGTACTAGAAGGAAAACTCAAACCTGAAGAGGTTAACCACACCCAGGAAAACACAGAGAGTAAATAATCCCAGGCAAAATGAAAAAATGGAAAACATACATGCATGCTTATACACACACACACACACACACACACACACACACACACACACACACACCATCACCACTACCACCACCACCAACAACAACAACAATAAACAAAATAACAGAAAAACAATAATCACTGGTCATCAATGTCTCTTAATATCAATGGTCCTAATCTCCTAATAAAAAGACATAGATTAACAGAATGGGTGTGAAAACAGGATCCATCCTTCTGTTGCATCCAAGAAACACACTTTAACATCAAGGATAGACATCACTTAGGGGTAAAGGATGGAAACAGATGTTCCAAGCAAATGGACCTAAGAAGCAAGTGAATGCAGCCATTTTAATATTTAACAAAATGATTTCAAACCAAAACTAATCAAAAGAGACAGGTAAGGATGCTACATACTCATTAAAGGAAAAGCCCACCAAGAGGACAGTTCAGTTCTTAACATCTATGCACCAAACACAACAACAGCACCAAAGTTCCTAAAAGAAATACCACACAGCTTAAATCACGTGTTGATCCTCACACACTGATAGGGGGAGACTTTGATACCTCACTCTCACTGATATACAGGTCATCCAGACAAATAATTGAGAAGTGCTGGAGCTATCTAATGCTATAAACAAAATAGATCTAACAAATATTTACAGAACATTTCAACCAAACCCAAAAGAATATTGCTTCTTCTCAGTACCTTATTGAACTTTCTCCAAAATTGACCACATACTTGGACACAAAGCAAATCTCAACAGATAGAGGAAAATTGAAATAGTACTTACTCTGCATCCTTTCTGACCACCATGGAGTAAAGCTGGATTTCAACAACAGAAACAACAGAAAGCCTACAAACTCATGGAAACTGAACAACTCCTACTGAATGAAAATGAGTCAAGACAGAAATTAAAGACTGTCCAGAACTAAAAGAAAATGAATACACAACATACCCAAACTTATGGTACTTAACGAAGCCAGTGCTAAGAAGCAAGTTCACAGCACTAAGCAACTACATAAAAAAAAACTGGAGAGACTGGATACTGGCACACCTAAAAGCTTTAGAACAAGAAGAAATCACACTCAAAAGGAGCAGATGGCAAGAAACAATCAAACTCAAGCCTGAAATTAATCAAATAAAAACAAAAAAAAATACAAAGAATCTATGAAACAGAATTGTTTCTTGAGAAAAATCAACAAAATTAATAAGCCCTTATCCAAATGAACTAAAAGGTGGAGAGATAATATTCAAATTAACAAAATCAGAAATGGAAAGGACATAACAACAGACACAGAGGAAATTCAGAGAATCATAGGGTCATACTAAACCTGTACTCTACCAAATTGGAAAACATAAAAGAAATGGATAATTATCTCAATACGTACCACTCACCAAAGTTAAATCAAGACCAGGTAAGCAATTTAAACAGACCTATGAATGCTAGTGAAATAGAAGCAGTGATGTAAAGTCTCCCAAACATAAAAAGTCCAGGGCCAGATGGTTTTAGACATAATTCTACCAGACTTTCAGAGAAAAGTTAATGTCAATACTCCTCAAATTATTCCACAAAATAGAAACAAAAGGAGCATTGCCCAGCTTGTTTTACTCTGGTACCCAAACCACATAAAGACCTGTTCGGAGCACAGCATGAAGGTCCTTGTGCCCACAGACCCCCAGAGAAACCAGGGGTATGGAGCACCACACAGCATCGTCTCTCCGATGGGAAAGATGCAAAACTTGTTCTTCCATCCAGAAAGCTGGGAATTAGAAGTGATTAATAGTCTGGTGGTCTATGTTATCTCTTGGGCTAGGCCATTCAAACTCATAAAACCAGGACCAGAGGTGGCTAGTAATCTAAGTAATCCTTACAGCCAGGGGCTCCCCAAGCTTCCCATAACCAGGACCAGAGATACCTAATAGTCTAAATGACCCTAACATTATCTGTATAGCCAGAGGCTCCCCCAAGCTTCCACAAGCAAGACAAGAGATGGCTGATAGCCCAAAATGACCTCTACACTGTCTGTATGATCAAGACCAGGCCAGAGCCTTCCTCAGACCCTTAAACTAGTACAGACAGCCTATCTCCAGAAAACATCTTCTTGGAAGAAATGACATGTACCCTGATTAATTATGCTCCTTTGTGTACCAGTGGATGTATTACACCAGGAAACTTTTTTCTTGGATTTATACTGTGTTTAAATTTGCTTGGATTAAGTCACCTGTAATCACACTCCCTGTGGTGTTTTGAATAGGCATGGCCCCCATAACCTCATGTGTTTAAATGCTTAACCCATAGGAAGTAGCACTATTAGGAGGTGTGGCTCTGTTGGAGTGGGTGTGGCCTTGCTGGAGTAAGTATGTCACTGTGGGGGCGGGCTTGACGGTCTCATATGTTCAAGCTATGCCCAGTGTGGTAGACAGGTCATTTCCTGTTGCCTGTAGATCCAGATGTAGAATTCTCAGCTACCTCTCCAGCACCATGTCTGCCCACATGCCGCCATGCTTCCCCCTGAAGCCTGTGACAGAAGATTAGGATCTGAGTATGTAATGTCCCCCTCAGGCTCATGTTGAAAGCATGGCTCCCAGTAGATGACACTATTTGGGAAATGTTTTAGTTTGCTTCTGTTAGGATAAACACCATAACCAAAATAACTTAGTTAAGGAAAGAGTTTATCTTAGCTTATACTTTCAGGTCACTTTTTAGCTCTTTCCTTGACCTTATCCCAGTCAAGGTATAGAATGTATTTCCTCTTACCTTGAACTGGGACTAACCCTAGGGCTGTTTCACTGTGGAGGGCAATAGGGGTATTGTGGCCGTTTCTGACTGGGCAGCTTCCACTTCTGTTCCATAGAACACTGGCTCTTGGCATTGTTCCCTCTCAGCTGACTGCTAAAAGCCTTGAGAGACCAAGGAGGCTCACTCCTCACCCTTAGATCAACTCCCAGATGACAGCCAGCTCCAACTGCAAGTCGCAT